CGTTTCAGAGGTTTTGCGTTTTAGAAGTTATAGAATAGGGTTTTGGGGTTAGGGTTTGTAGGGCTCAGATTTTGGAAGTTGGGGTTGTAGCCTACACCCAGCGCATACAGACCTAATCCAGACGCTTGGACCAGAGGAAAAACTAGATTGAATTCCTCAAACCCTGCATATTCAAAAATTGAATCCTTGCAAGTTTTGGGGAGAGTTCTGGCATGGGATCTTTTTGTTGTGTGGAGTACTCCCTTGTAGTCTGATATCCCTCAAAATTCCTATTCCTGTTTTGACCCTGTCAGCAGCAACGAGGACCAGAGTCCCTCGTTAGGGAAATTGAGAGCTCCAGACCTAGGGCTACACCCCATTGGATTTAGGGGTTTGTGGCTCTGGCCGGTTTGGGGTCGCTGATGTAGAATTAGAAGGTTAGGGGTTTTGTTGCCATTGTACCCCAAATCTGGGATCCGATTTATGTTGGCTTCAGTGGTTACCATCAGAACTTTCCGACTCAAACCGCATCAGCCATCAACCCCAAATCCCGAAGCCCCAAACCCCGAGCCAGGTGTGGAACCTGCAAGAGCGGGCTCCCAAAGAGCAGGCGTAGACGTCATTTCTTTGGAAATGGTGTCATGTGTGTTCCCGAACCCCTCAACCCTAAACGGTGTAAGCACAAGGGACGGCTTAACGAAAAAAATATATTATTGGTCTAAGGGGTTGCTAAACTGCGGGAATTTTTGAGCATCCCCTTGAGCCCCCCCCCTCTACCCCATTCATCAAGCAGTACAACTATCGCTGCATATTCCGGGGCTTTCTGGATTCTTTGGGTTGTGGTTTTGGGGATCCTCTGGGGTTGGAGGACTTCCAACCCTAGGCCTACAGGCTTCAGGGTTCAAGCATGTTGGGGTTTGAGGCAAGGGGCCACGTAAAACAGCTCCTGTGCCCTAAACCTACTCCGTTTACTCGCCAAGTGCCTCGCCTTGCAAAAATCACCGGAACGATCCTGAACCGACTACCCCGGCACAACTACTCAACCCTCTCAAGCGGGAAACGGTAAACCCTAAACCCCATAAGCCCTAAACCACTAGACTAAACCTTAACCCCCCGTCAACCCCAAAATCCCTGAATCCCAAACCACTAAACCCTAAACCCCCAGCCTGAACTGAAACGCCAAGACCCAAAGCTGCCTTGCATAGCCCGCATCTGGGCTTCCAGCACATTCTGGGGTTCCTTCCGTACTATAAGGATGACTAGCATGGATACTGCAAGGATTGCAAAAAGTCGCTAATATAAGGGGAGTACGAGAGGTTGAGGTCTAGGGTTTCGAGTTTTGTGCAGTGGGGTCTTCAGGTCTCAGGGTTTCGAGTGAGGTATGAGGGTTTCGAGTTTAAGGTTTAAGGTGCAAGCACTGGAGCTTGGTGCTTTGGATTTAAATAGGGGCTTTGGGACTTAAGTTGGCGTTTGCATCCCGCTTATTCTTTGCGAACCCTCAAGACCTACAATCGGCCCTATGAAAGCGGGTACAACCCTTACAAAACCCAACGTCAACCTTGTAAAATCGCAAGATGCTGTGCATGCCTGGGTCTGAAGCGCTCCACGAGAGCGGCGTCTTCAAGCCCGGCCTTTGGGCGAAGTGGCATCAGGCTGCAGAGGTGCTTATTTCGGGAGGTTGGGGGTTTAGGGTTTAGGGCTTAGGCGGGCTTCGTGCTGGGCCTTCGTAGAGGGTTTTTTAACAGAGTTCATAGAGGGTTTCATGTGGAGGTCAAATGGTTTTTGAAGGTTCTATGGAGGGTTTCATATGGGGTTTGTTTGTATATCGGGTTCCGCGTAGATCAAAGGAAGCTTTGGCTCTCAGGCTCTACTCCCAACACATCGTAGAAGGAAGCACGACAACAAGACCCCGTGTATGCAGTCAACTCGCCAGAGAGGACTACGTAATTTCACCGACACCACAGCTGCCTCTTTGGGACTAAGCCTTTCCACCAAAAAAACACTGAAGTCCCTGTGCCCAAACCCTAAGACCCTTAAACCTGCAACCCCAAATTTGAACAGGCCTGTAAAGCCCTGGTAAATCAGAATCCCCTTAAACCAGGTGCTGCTGGGCCTGAGACTCGCCCGTATTGCCGTGGATGTGGCGGCGTGTACAACAGCCCTGAGCGCTTGCAGGAGAAGCTGTTTTTTCTGCCTTCGGTTTGGGCTTGATGTTAAGGCGGTTAAGGGTTTATAGAGCTTTCAGCCTCAAGCTCAACTTGCATTGGGTGTCGGGTTTTCTTCGGTCTCGGGCCCTCAAAAGATTACACCGACTGTGGGGTGTAGGTTGCAAAGCATTGATGGAGTCCTGTTTACCTCGTGATGCCTGTCTACGCTTGGGAAGCCTCAAACCGTAACCTTCTCAAACCTATGCCGGAAGGATGGGCTAGTATAGACTTCGAAACGCTGCCTCCAGCGTGCGAACTTATCTATGATTCTAGGCCCCTTCGACTCACTACTGTATCAGCACGGCCAAGCTATTATGCATGCTGCATGACATAACGAATGTGGATTATGCGGTGTTGGAGCCAGTCAGTTTTAAAAGTAAGACGAAAATTATTCATCGGAGACTGGTGCGGGTGCTGGTAAAATTACGAACCCGGAGGAGGAGTAGAGACGAGTGGTATCGGGTGGCCACGGGGTTGGAAATGATACGTCTAGTGGCCTTGTAAGCATTACGACTTTCTCGTACTAGCACAAGGAGAAAAGGAAGTGTTTGAAGTTGGGAGCCGCGTCGTACTGCCGCAGGAACGTACGTAGCCCTGCAAGAACTGCAGAGAATTGAGGGTTTGAACTCTGAGGACAAAAGACCCGAAATCCACACCATCCGGTCAGTAGGCAAGACACGCCTAAGCCTCTCGATCCTGGTCCCTGAACAGTTGGGCCAAAGCAGCTGAGAAAGTCCTTGTATAGCATTCTGATCAAGCCTGCTAGAGTTCCACAGGGCCTTCGAAACCCAGAAAAACCTGAAATTCCAAAGCCCTGGCAACCAGCCACAAAGTCAACGAAAGCCACTATCAGGAAGTGCCTGGAGTGGCAACGAGCTCTGAGGCTTTGGGCGGATGCCTCGACATTTGGCCTCGGCGAGGAGCGAAGTTGCAACTCAGTAGGGGGTCGGATTCCCAGAAGGCACGGGGTTAGTACCTGTTCTCGTCATAGGTCTTTGAAAGCTTGCCCAGTGGTCTTGTAAGCTGCCATAAGGTTCTCAGAGTTGTCTGAAGCAAGGTTTTTTGTTTAAAGGTTTTTATGGGTTGGAAATGCGTTCAGGAGACCTCAACGATACAGAGGCTTTCTATCTTGATGAAACCTCAAGCACTCCTCTACCTAAACCTGTAATCCTAAACCTCTTCTTGGAAGAGGAGTTGGACGTTGTTGCATACAATGCCGCCATCAGCATCTGTGCTGGGGGCTCTCTGTGGCAGGAAGCTATCGCTTTGTGGCTTGCCGTGGCTTCAGAGTTTACGGGAAGGAAGGCTTGGGTTGTCGGGTTTTTGGGGGAATTTGGTCTAGGGTTTGGGCTTAAGGAATCTACTGTCCAGGGTATCGGTTTCGGATTTTGGGTTTAGGAGACTCAGGAACTAAGGTATCTGAAGTTGGGTTATCAGGTATTCTAGTGATACCCGTTTAATTTGTAACATTGCACCTGTAGAAGTGAGGCAGGAACCATAGTTGTGAAAAAGCTACTTATAGCCCAAGTACGGGCATTTGTTCACATCTTTTGACCTTGCCTAGAACTGCGGTAGAACTAATGGATAAGTTCCTTTGTTCGAACTGCCTGCAAATTTCGTATTCAGCACTTGTGGATGCCGTACCCTGCAGAAACTGTTAATGATTATTAATGAAGAAGCCTCAACAGTAAGCGTACTTACAACCACCCATGAGGCACTTGCAAGCCAACCCCCTTGTACAGCCCTAAAAACCCTGAACCCTAAACCCTAAACCCTAAGCCATAAGCCCTAAACCAAATCCAAGGCTGGGAGATCTGCAAGCAAAGAAGCTGCAGAGCAGCGTCGTCAGCTACAGCGACTCGGCCTCGAATGAGCTCCTTCAGGACGGAATGAAGCCTAAAAGAGCTCAAGGTCCATATTCTAGAGAGGGTTTTCGATAGAAGGTCTGGCTCGCCATACTTGCCAAGGTCATTTGATCCTGAAGGTTTGTGTGAGCAGTTTAGGACTACCAGAAGAAAGGAAGTACCCCTCGCTCGTAGTAGACCCCTCCAAAACCGTATAAAGCTCGATACAACTTCGCTTTTCGCCAAAAACCTGGCGCAAGGGCTTGGCCGGTTTCTCGGTTGCGATTGTGTCTATGTGTTCGTTTGTGCAGAGGTGGGCTTAGTAAGAGTTAGGGATTCAAGGTTGAATGCTTCAAGGGTGATGTGGCTTTAAACGTTTCCAATTACGACGATAATGCCAGCTTTTTTCACCACCATCAGCTGCAAAAGCACCGGTACTCTGTAAAACCCTTAGACCCTATACCCGAAGCCCCACACCGCCGAAGCGTCCCGTCCCAGGCGCGGCGATCAGCTCTTGCGAGAAATCTTCGCAATGGCATCCTGCCTTGGAGCTTCTGTCAGAACTTCGTCAATCACGTTTGCAGCTGAACGTGATTGCTCCTCGACTACTAAAATGCACTGCCCATCCTGAAGAATTGTTGTCGACCGGTGGTTCAGGTTTTTTTTTAGCAGCACTGTGCCTAGGTCTTGACGATCTGGAGGAAGGTGTAATCTTGAGGTCGGAATAATTTGAAACGGTCTCCGGTTGTCCCCATATTAAGTTGTATTGCAACCACAGAACCCTGTTCTACTTACTAAAACCCTCAAAGCCCTTGAAGGAACCTCAAAGGTTTCCCTACATACTCAAGACCCCTTTAGTGTGCGATGTGGGAGCTAAAGCCGGTCGAAAGGGTCTTCACATCTGGCTCCAAGTCTGTTGTTTCCCGACCTGTCGCATTCTTCGTTGTCCTTGTCTGTGACATTGGATCCGATGTGCGGCTGTCCTCGCGTTATTCTGGCAATCATGCTGGGGCTGGCATATGGCACCTATGATGGCCAGCTGCCAGAAGACATCTGTGACACGACCGGCCAATGCGAAGTCTCTCTCCGACAGCTGCGCGGGGAGGCCCGAGAAGCAGGTTTTGTCGACATGTAGCTATGCACCTCTGATCCTGTGCTCACCTTGCTGGCATTCTTGCCACACAAGACCCCTTAGCGGAACAGTTCAACAGCTGGGCAGGTGAAGTTGCAGCAGGACATGGACATCTGGCACCAGAACGAAAGTGCGGACGCAGCGATGCATGCTGATAGAGTCGAGGCGATCTTGGACGTGTACTTCAAGGACACGCCAAAATCGTAGCCGTAGACTGCAGAGCATCGAAATAACAGAAGCTGCTGTTAATGTTGCGTGTGCGCTAGTTGCTACCGAGCTGGAATGAAAAACGGAATGTACATCGCAGGCCGCATGCACAGCATTATCCACGCTGCCACCATACTGCGGATCTCGGCTATGTATACAAAAGTATATAAGATATATATATACACATACATACATACATACATACATACATATCAATTATTCATTTGTTCATTTATCTGTTTCTAGTTTTACATATGTACATATATATATATATACATATAGATCTTTCTATTTATCTGTCTGTCGGTCTGTCTATCTATCTATCTATCTATCTATCTATCTGCCTATCTATCTACCATCTAGCTATCTACCTACCTACCTGTCCATCTATCTGTCTAGCTGTCTATCTATTTATCTAGTTATTTAATTTATGTATCTATTCTTCTATCTATCTACCTATTTATCTATCTATCTACCTACCTACCTATCTAGCAATCAATCAATCGATCGATCTATCTGTCTATCTAGCTAGCTACTGTGTGTGTGTGTGTGGATGTGTATATGTGCATCTATGTATGTGTGGAAATGTGCTCACGCCCCCGGTTAGTGGGTTCCGTCCCCTCGGGCAGACGTGGACACGCTGCTGGGACGGGAGTTAAGTAAGTTTTGGGCTTTCAAGGTTATGTCCATACGCCGGGGTGGGGGCGAAAGCGGCAGGGGTGGGGGGTGTGGCGAACCGGGAACCGGATGCATGTGTATGTATGTAGCAAAATTAGGTTGAAGGCTGGAACCTGTCGGCTGCGGTTTTTGCTGTTTCGCGAAACAAGATCAATTCACACTGTCACCAAGAAGCTAACATGAATGAGAAAGCAATGCCGTTTTCGAAAATTCCACAAGAGGTATGCCAAAGACTGCAAAACAACAATCTTTTTTAGCTTTAAACCCCAAATTGATATAGGCAAAGCAAGTAGACTAGTATGAAAATACGTACAAACAAAACACCTGCCGCTATGCAGGACATCAACATGACCGGGCGTCGCATCGCGAAGGCAATCCACAATGAACAAACTTGGGCAGCGTGTGCTAGTGTGGACTGGACGCAAGAGGCGTTGGAGTTCGATTCCACAGGAAGGCTCGGGGCAATGAGGAAGCGGTTGGGAGTGGATGCGTACTGTGCCGAGAACAAAACGGACGTCACATGCCTGGCAATTGAGGCCGCCGTGCTTGCTTCTATTGAGCTGGTAATCAAGGGTTTGAGTCCTAGGTTCGCCAAGTCTGCAGTGAGCGAATACGGAATGCACCCTTCTTGGGTGGAAGGCTCCGTGAAGAGGCCTGTGCGACGAGAAATGCCACCTCGGGCCGAGGTGTTGGACGGCACGGGCGTGGTGGGATACGGTGATTGCTCAATTCTCCGAACCGTTCTGACCGGCAGCCCACACCAACAGCAGCAGGGAACGTGCGGGTGGGTTTCGAGCCTCGGGGCACTGAGCTGGGCAGCCCCGGCCCAGGCAATCAAGATGGGCATGCGACTCTTCTGGACCGGAACCATGTTGAAGTCCATCAAGACGTGTGCCAACATCTATGACTTGCAGCCAGGACTTGTGCCCCTGGTGAAAGGTGGAGCGGAGCGCGTGCTCTGTTACAAGCACTGCAACGCCTTTCTCAGAGGGATGGCTGCCAGTACAAGCTTCTGGGGTGACGGTCATGTGGACCTATGCATTGTTGAGCAGCTTCGTTGAACATCCCCAGGGTTGTCCGGTACCTTCGGCGATCAGCGTCGAATACACCGACATCAAGCATGAAGATCCCGAAGCCTGGCAGCGGTTCTGGGACATCTCGACCCAGTACGACAATCAATCGCTAGCCGTGTGTAAGCGGCTCATCAGCCCGGACTGCGACATAGCCTGGCTGGATGACAGGGGCGACTCGGTCGCCTTGGAACGGGCTTGCAAGGTCGTCGAGAATGGTGGTGTGGTGTTGACTCTCGTCGACGCTGACCCCCTCCAATCCGCTTCCAAAAAGTCATCGCAGCCCGGGATCCACGTGGGCGATTTACTTGCCAAATTCGGTGTTGGAGAAGAGTTCAATCATTTTACCTACCTCCAGAGCTGCGACCCGGAAGGGGACAGCTATGCCATTTGGACTTGGGGAGGTCCCGTGTACCTTACCAAGGAGAACCTCATCGGTTCCACGACGTCTCCTGGCCAGGTCCTCCAGGCTACAATTTGGGCAAGGAAGGTGCACATCTTCGATGACTAAGCCGTTGAGCCTGAGCCAAGTCATCGTCAGTTTAGCTGGCTTATATAGCTCCAAATTGCTTGAACCAAAGTGTCCTAGCACGAGAGCCGGCTGAATGCATGGCATGCAATGTCCAATGATCGTGGTTCAAATCCGTGTGGGACCCTCATCCTCTGGTGAATTGTGCCCGTTTACTGTTCACGGCTAGCAGGGTTCGAGATTCTGAATTTCACGCATTGACTTTTTTGGATCCGAGCTTTCATGTCTGGTCACCTCCAGAAGGCTTTTGAAGAGAGCTTCGTGTTCGAGTTGCGTGGTGATTTCTGTGTCTGCAGTTCGTAGGTGCTAGCTGAGATCAAGGCGTCGTAGCTTAATATGTTCTAAGGTTTGGGCTTACGAGTAAGTTTCACATCTTAGGGCCCAAACCACACCGGCCCAGACTCAAACCCCAAAGCCCTCAACCGTCGACTCAACCCGCTCCGACACAAGTCTGAAGCTCGACGTTTCTGCCCGCTGCAACTCAAACCCTAAACCGCGAACGCGTGAAACCTTACCCTTTAACATCGTACATCCCTAGAATAGGGCTTCGAGGCAAACTATACAAAAGGGTTATTAAACCATCAGTGTAATCACCATCAAAAGAAACATTAGCCTCTCAAGGCTTTCAGCGCCGCCATCAGTGCCTGCAGCCGGGGCGGCCAGGGTCAGTTGGCCCCAGAGGTGTTTCGAGCGATGCGGGAGGATAGCCTCATGGAGCCCCATAGCACCCTAAAGAAAAGCTATGAGCCGCTTTAACGTAAACTTTAATGCCGTTGTTGCTATGCTTGGTTGGTGGTTCCGGTATTTTGTGGGACATCAGGATAGAGTTGTGAGGATAGACGTAAAGCAGTGAAAGACCACCTGACAGTGCGAGCCAGGTTGGTATCACCTTTTTCTAAACGTCTGTTTTAGGTTCCTTCAACAGGTGTGAAAAGCTATGAGGTTCACGGTTTCGGTTCCAGCCTGTCTGTAGGCAGCTGGTTTAAGATTTCAAGCCGACATGCCGGGGTTAGGGAGGGCAGTTTTGGGGATAGGTTGAGTTGGAGAGACGTTGTCAGGACTTTGGTTTAGGACATACCGGTGATAGACACCATGAACTATCTGAGCTGCAGGGACAGCTCTCCAGATGGACCCGCATTCAAACCTCAAAGAAGCCTTGTGAAGAACCCCTAAGAAAGTCGCTGCGAAAGTCGCCTCCCAGGAGCAACTCGTCGGTGATGTGATCACGTACAATGCGGCCATCAGTGCACGCGAGCAGCAGTCTCAATGGCTCGAGGCTTCCCTCGTCTTGTCTTGGACCCCACATGCCAGATCAAAAGGCCTAAGATCCAAACCCTTACTAAACCCCAAACTCTAAACTCAAATTCTCAGAGCTTCTATTACAGGGAATTTTGTGATTGCGCGGCTGTAGTAAGAGCCCAGGATTAGTTAAGGGTGCAGGGCTTGCTGGTTAGCCTTGAGGGCTTTCGTTTTGAAACCAGCGCTTTCAAGTGCAGATAGGACCTGAGCGAGTTCAGGGGATGCGCTATCTACGAATCCATGGCCCAGCGACTCCACTTGCCCTGATTCCCGGCGATTCGTCAGCCCATAGAAACCCTCAGCTGAAGCAACACAAGATCCCTTATTTAAAAGCCCATGAAGCCTCTAATTGAATCTATATACATATTTCCTCTATAAGCCTTGAACCTTGTTTTACATAAAAACGAAGCGCTAGACCTTCATATCAGGGTCGGAGTCGTAAGTCAGAAGATTCCTTATAGTCGGCATAGTATGAACTGTTTTGAGCTCAATGTGTTGCAGATTGGCCAGCAAAACTAGTGATACTATCCCCATTGAGCCCCTTGACAACCATAGTCAGCTATAGTGCTATATCATGCCCGCTCCAAACCCCAGTCCCTCTTCAAATTTCATTATGGTTCAGATGAAGACTCAACACAGCGACCCGTTTGGCAGAGAATTAAAGAACTTCAGCTTTGCACTGGGACTTTAGGGTGTGACTTTTGAGCTAGCCGGGCCTTTCAGCTCTAGTCGCAGCGACTTTAAGCCTAAACCCCACGAGCTCACCCTCCGTTTAGTTGACGAGGAATAGATAGCTTTCTTCCACGACCCGAGTCTAGACTGTCCCCCAACCCCTCGTCGAGGAGGGGTATCTCTCCTGAAGACCCCGACTTGTGAACACCAGACCCCCCTCCTTCTTCAACCAAACTTACCCATTGCAGGCCCTGGACATGCTAGCCGGTCTCTCCGACTGGCAACTTCAGGCCACCGCCCCCTTGCTGCCCTATACCTCAGGGTTGGGAGCAGTCTTGGGGTTCGCCTGGACTCCCTAGTAAGCAACTTAACCTTTGTAAGAACCTATAAAAGGAAATCGTAAAAATCTTTGTTTTACGGTTCAGGCAAGGGCCAAGGGTTTGGGTTTGGCGGTTAATGTGTTGGGGTTTAGGGTTCAAGGTTAATGCTTCGGATATTCAGGTTAGGGCTCTGGGTTTTATACGTGAACATGCTATGCCTTATGTATAAGCATATATATATATATGATGGTACCCCCCCCCATGTACCCACG